ACTGCCGCTATAAACTGTGATCAGTCAAATTACTGAATTTATGGGAGTCATATTTGGATGACTCAAATGTGGCCTGCAGCAATTCCGTATGAATTCCGATATCATTCTTTACGCTTATTTTTACTCAACTGACGCTCAGACTTTATCAGATCCATCAATAGATGATGCAGTAAAGTACGGAATTACCGACATGCGACTTGCGAGGAATTTCAAAATATCATCAATATTGAAAATATATTTCTGAAAATTGTGTTTACATTCCTTGGGTTTGCCTCGGACTGTAAAATCACGATCGCCACAGAAATTTCTAACAGCCTAGTTACTACCGGAATATACTATAAAATTTGATTCTTTAGGAAAGAACATTTTTCAAAATTCACGAAGTTCATTATTCCTCCCAAAGATGCATTTATGTCGGAGAAGTCGATTTCCCAATAATCGATTTTCACCGGGTGAGTAATTTCCGATTGATATCGATTAGTTGTAATGATAATAATCATATTGACCTAGAGGACGATTACAGTGCAGGTGACCATGGATAGACCTCTCAGATTATTATTAATTTTTGAAAAATGGGTAGTTTGTTTCGACCCACCGAAAATTGCCAGTAACACGGTAAAAATGAAATGACACACCTCATTTCTCGCGAAAATAAAAATTGCATTCTTCATTCATCACCCACTGAAACCAAATACGATGATCCCTTAAAAAGATCCTCGTAAAAATAGGATATCGCGTCAACCTGAATTTCAAAGAAACGAAGAGATAAGGAATAAGCCTGCACTTCAATAATTTTCATCGTCACATCAAATCCCAATTCGAACTCCCCAAAAAGAGCTGCTCCCCCGCCCTGTAAATCCATCGCAGTTCCACCACAAATGCCTGAAGCTTGCGGGCGAATCCATCTCATAACCCAGAAACCCCTCCCGCCCTGAAAATCCCCTCGATCCCACGCAAACAGTATTCGTCTCGGAAACTTTTCCACTCATCCAGAATTCGTGTTCTGCAGATGACACGACCTGCACATCCCCGCCCCTCGACGAATCAATCCCCGAAAAATCCTGCCCCCTTGTATTTAAATTTCCCGCTAGAAAGGAGATGCCAAAAAACTTGCCTCTCCGTGCGTAGATAGCGCGAGAGGGGATGCCCTGATTTTCCATATGTACTTAATATCGTAAAAACGTCGAAGGTATATGGACGAGGAGAGATCCGCGGATCGTGAGACATCAAGCCAAACGTTAGCAGTATATAGTGACGGGTGGAAAAGTAAATTGAGGTGCAGGAAAGGCATTGGCGTACAGCATTGGGAGGCCCGGAGGGCCCGGGGCGATGTTGGGAGGCTGCACGAGGAATATTAGAGGTCGAGTTGAAACACTCGGCGGGAATATGTGACCGGTAGCTTCCTAGCTTCTCATTTCGTATTCCGTGGGGTGCCTACGGGGCTGCCTCCCTATCTATTACCCCCCCCCCCCTTCCCTTCTCCCTGCCACCCACTACACCCCCCATTCGCCTAACTTTCTTCAATCTAACCGTTTTGCTCTCGTTTTACCGATTTATGGATCCGGTCTCGGGCTCACTTCGGGGTTAGCCTTGTTTGAATTATCCATCCAACCCTTTCCTCCCTCACCACCCCTTACTCACCCTTCCTTCGAGTCTCCTACATACCTCTTATCCCCACGACATACATAGTTGTTTGACTCGCTCGTCACTCACCAACTTTCCCCCATAAACTGCCGACCTGTTTTTAGGGTGAAATAAACTTGTAATGTCTTCAGTCACTTTTGAAATCGATTTAAGGTTAACCATTCTGTCATTATGTCATTAGCAATATGACTTGCGATAAGGGATAAAATGTGTGACTTGAAATTTCACTCCACCCCCTCCATCGTGCTTTCATTTCTTTTGTCCCAGAGACTGAAAACCGGCGCCACGTACGCGGGGGTACGCCTTCGCTACGTGCCACCGTTGGGAAAATCCCCGACTCTGGAAACGAAATTTCGTTGAAACTGGAATAAAAGTAATTAAAGGCATTCGTGTCGTCTCGTAATTAGTTTGTGTGTGCACTTTCCAAGCACGCCATATAACCCACGACAACTTCAGGGACTAATGTGATTCTGGTGACAGGTTTTGGACAATTTCCGTAGAATATCGTCTTGTGGTGGAGTTCATAAGTCCCTCCATGAAATGATATAAAGGATGTCAAAGTGACACTGTACAATAGTTATTTTATTTAGCGGGATTACATAGTAGAAATGGTTGGATATATTGGTCGCAGCGGTGTGATACATTGCGGGGCTTTGTAAACAGGGGGCCCATTGTTTCACCGGCATTTATAAATCATGATTAGTGAATGATTCGTTGGATGGAGAACACAGGGCGATGGCTGTGGGAATGAAGTCATAAAACTCAGCTGGAGAAATATCGCCTCGGGGCCACTGAATATTTTGACCTCGAAACCCTATTGCTAAGGGAAAAGTAAATATTTTCTTCACCCATTCACCCATTCATTCTCCTTTATTGCGCTCATTCTCATGTTATGTATACGGGATCTAAACGCATTCACAGAAGGTCATGCACACATTTTGATTTATACAGTTTGCCAGAGATAGTCTCTTGGTTCGCGCGAGTTATCACGAGAAGAGACGACACGACGATAGACTTTGCCCTGAAGCTCGCGCGCTCAGCATCGTGAGAGGATTAACTGGCAAAATATCACTCAAGCTGAGCACAGTGCACATACACCCTCGCAAACCCCTCACAACCCCTCACCACCCTCTCGCCATCCTCTCACTATCCCCCGAGCCTGGTAGCTTGCAAGCTCCGGCATTTGAGAGAGAACGATGGGCCGTACGTGATCGAAATATTATCGTGCATTGCCAAAGGATAGCGCAGGTAGTTTGGGATGGGAGGCAACTTGGAAGACCATGCACGAAAAATACCAGGTGAATAAAATTTTCTGTGGCCGACATACTCCGTAAGAAGTACCCTATCCTCGGTATAACAGTGGAATAGAAAAAGGAACGGTGAGGAGTGGAAAATTAGCGGGACAAGGAGAGAGAATGGAAGTAAGCTGAGGGGTTTGCGCTCGCGATGGCACCAGTATTTTCATTAAGGCACACGAGGTCGGCGAGCTCTTCCTTTTTCTTTTTTCACCACCCCATCCTCTCACTTTTACCATCTCCTCCCGCGCCTTTTTTCAGTCTTCGTTTTTACCTTTTTTCCACCCCCTATTTTCCTCCATCCACCCTCGTTTTGCGATTTTCAAGTGAAATCTCATTTCCTCGGGGCGTCCAACAGTTTTATCCTGGCCTGGTGTTTTCTCGCATCCCCCCAGTGTGCAATGGCAAAGAGCGCCGTGTAATACATTACATTACCAATTAGGAGAGTGGTTCAACTGTGTGAAATGGAAAAATAAAAATAACCCTGTGCTTGGATTATACTTTGCATGATTTTATCTCGCGTTCCGTTATTTGCTTGGGATTTTTTTCTCCACCCGGTAGCTCATGGTATTTGTCCAATGGAATTTTAATCTATAATACATTCGGTGGCTATTGTTGTTGCTCTCAGTGACTCAATTCAAGCTGTTTCAGTTAACGACCTATTGTTTCGACAAGTCAGTTGTGGTCTTTTATGGGTGTGACATTGGCGAATGCAGATCTACTTGGGGATTTTAATCATGATAAAATTTAGTTATTTGATTATACGTCAGGCTGCTGGTGGGAGAATAATCGGTGGGGATGGGGTTTTCGATGCAAGACACTATTGTTTCCCTAAACTGATATGATTGATGATTGATGAATGCTGATGGGGTTTGGAGTTGATCACGGGCTGTGGGAGGGGTGGGCTGATTGTCTCGGACGACTACTCGTGGGAAATAGCGGCGAATCTGCCATCGGTGTGTCGAGGCGAGAGAGTGACTATTATTCACGCGAAGGCTGGCCGACTCCATCTACTGAAGTCCATCCCCTCGACCACCAATTCCCTCGTCCTTTCATGTGGGGCTCTTCTGCACAGGGAGAGGCATCACACTGGGAGGACTAGTCCCCAATGGCCCACGAAGGGTTCGTGATAAATTCTTATAAATCAAAACAGGCACGCTATCCCTCCCGTTTTTTTTTTACCCGTGTCTCTCGGACATATATATGTTTTTAATCAGATTTTTTTATCATGCACTGTCCGAAATTTTTTGCTTCAAATGTATTACCGAGGGTTGGCCGTTTAATTTCGTTTGGTATTGATTCGAGAAAAGGGGAGGACACGTTATATTTGGAAGTTTACGTTGGACCTTTCAGGTTCAGTGCCTGCTTTTGGTCTTGAAATTCTCGGACAAGTGATTGTTTCGGGAAATCTGGGGGAATTTTCGCGTTGGGCACTCGTCATTCGATGAGAAAATCAAGGGAAACTCTAAAATTTGGTTCAATGATTACATAAAAGTTTATTGAAATCAGTAAAATTCATCGTCATGCCAGAAAGTTGTGACGTTTTATGAATCTTTTTCCCGTAAATCGAATTCAATATCGCTCTCCTGGAAATTATTGCTGAACTGTTCGTGGAATTCAGCAGCGAAGCGGTAAATCGATTTAACTCGACTTACCTCTTAGCCGAGTTTTCGAGGAATATCTCCGGATATAAGGGAGATACTGAAATTTTCGTAATAATCTTTTTCGTAGCTCTTAATCAGCGCTACAAAAACGGTTATGACAAGAATTTCGATATCAGAGAAGCATTCCGAGTTATGCACTGAGAACTGATTAACAGCGGAAATCGACGTGATGCGGTGAGCCATTGGTTTGTTCCAGGAGAAACTCAATGAATTTCCAAAGGAAAACAGAATAATATGCATATAAATATGCAGATCATATTATAAAAATAAAATCACGATATTATTTAACGGCAGTAATTCTGGAGAGACTATTGTGAGGAAAAGCTGCGGTAAATGGTTACACCGAAGAATTCCCATACAATATCTTCGATTTTCCATCCCTTACCCATTTACTTACGCGGATTTTGCAAATGTACGGGTGACAAAGAACCCGTCCGCTGTGCAGCCATTGTCGCTGGAACTTTAGCGCGTAACGCCGCAAGACACGAGTTTGCCACGTCATAAATGAGATAAGTTCCATAGTATCGGTTGTTACCCACTGTCTTGAGTTTACTCTTGCTCATTCCAGTAGTCATGTTAGATGAACCTATTCGCGGAATGTCTCACAGTACCTCTGTAAAAAATTTGGGTGATAAAAACAATCATCACCACACCACAACGAAAGGCGTGCAGATCGAGTGATCAATAATCACGATGTTTGGCAAGAGTCACAGTGATCGATGAGTACCGCGTCGTGGGACTTGAACAAAATAAAAACACCAAGGAAAACATGAAATGCCGAAAAAGGGGGGCTAAAGGGGAGTTACCCGGTAAAGGAGGGTGGGGAGAGGAGGGGGAGAGGGAAAAATCGCTATCGGCACTTGAACGTGTACTGTCTGTTTTAGTGTGTTGGAAGTGGTATTCCTCGGTTATACTCGTATTTCACAGAGAAACTAGGACGCACCCATTCGATCGATTTACGCGCACGCAATGACCGTCACTCGATGTCACCGATTGTATTTCACAGTCGGTGCATTCTAGTGCCACCCGGGGTCGTATATTCGATTGGAGACACTCGCCTCACGCACTCTTAACACCACTCTCCAATTCAAAACCAGGAACTATCAGCTCGAGCGACTGGCGCTTCACTGAATCCCTCCAATCCACATTTTAATCGACACGACACAGTGTAAACCACTGAAACTGATAAACCCCGTGAATTCACCCACACCGTCGAAATTTACCATAACGTCACTCAAAATATTCGTTTAATTTTCTTGACACTGATGTGAGCAAGTGTCATGGCGCAAAACGACTGTGCGCGTTTGTTTTACGATGAATTGTCACAAGGAGGGATCCAGGGGTATTGTTACACCAGTGCTTGTGGAAATACAACACTGTTTGTGACACACGCGCGCGTTAGGTACAACTAGTTACATTGGAGTTGGATATCGCCAGTGGGTTGGGCCGTCCTCCAAACGGAAACGGCGCGGTCCCGTGGAACGGAAGCCGCGACCGGAAACGTCACGACTCAACGGCTACCTCTGATTGCAAACCGTTAAAACTTGACCAGATTAAATCGTCAAAACGTTTATACACATTTTTGAACATCTCTTCTTAATTTTACGGTGTCATTCCGACGGGATGGGATAAGGAAGTTATACTGTTGTAAAATTTTTGGAGACTCAAGTAGAAGATGCTATCGGATTTTCCGTGGTCTGAACTTCAATTCAATTTTAGACTCAATTGCTCGTGGTATTACTGATTTCAAAAAATTTTCAACATCCGTGAATCTGATATGGACGAAGAAATTACGGGATTCTTCAGTCTGAGGATTGCGCTCCGCTATTGTCAAAGTTTGTGACAAAAACTTCGGTATCGGCTTTCATTCCGGAGATATTTTTTAAAATGCATCGAAGAGAATCGCGTGATTTTCTAGTGAAGGAAAAAATTCGAGTCCCTTGATAAATAATTCTGTACATTTCACTCCAGTGATTTCTGATGTCTTGAAAGTATTAAATGAAAGTGAATGAACAAGGCTCATCAGTTATTCGAGGATTATTTTGTTCTATTCCGCTGCCTTCGTACAGCAGTCAATATTTTTATTTATTTATTTTTTTTTTCGGAATGAACTCATGCGTACGGATTCCGATCCGATGATATATTTTTGCATTCTCTGATGGATTGGAAAATCAACTATTTCGATGGTTTATTCATACCTGAGATTTATTCGCTCCACAATTCACCGAATCATTTACCTGTCGTCATTCGAAATATCATTCTGCATATTACATTGATTAATGAAAGCTCGATGGGAAAATACCTCATATTATTAAAACTTAATAATGCTATTATTCGATTATCGCCTTTCTTGTGCAATTTCATTTTACAGTAGTAGTGGGTACTGATAAACATCAATAATATCTCCCATTTATTATGGTTGTTTTGCGATTACGGGGGATTGAATAAACCCCGCGGGGGTCAATAATTTCACGTTTAATACGGAAATTTATGCTCCAGGAGATGTATTAAAGAGCTATTAACAATACAGTGGATGACGTGTTACAGCTTGTACAGGATGTGCGTAGATAGGAGAATGCCGATAACACAACTAAATCCTTCATGAATAACTCTGGATGTACACATAAAACCTCCACTTAGTTTACAATACTCGGGCAATATTTATAACATACCGTAAGTTGTAAGCGCAAAAAGATCTCGACTGAGTCATAAATTAATTGGTTGTTGAACCGACAAAAACGTGAACACATCGGAAACTAAAATCAACAATGCGAAGGTTCACTAATCTTGTCTATCCCACATAAAAAACCGGCATAAAATTTCCGAGAATAGAATTCCCATCATTGGGCATACTCCATCAGAAAATGCAATTACACTCGTGGAATTTACAACATTTCACTTGGAATATAACTGTTTCCATTTTTTTTTAAATTTTCATTATTCATGCTGTGAAAACTGAGGAGCAGAGAATATTTTAAAGTGAATTCAGATATATAAAATATAGAAAACACCAAGATATACCCAGATAAAAAATTATTGTAATTTTTTTTCATGAAGAACAAAAATAAAAAAGATAAATAAAAAAAATATAGATATTAGTATTCGCGTAAAGAATGGAATTGCGCAGTTGGTAATGAATTCATTCGGCGAAAGTATGTTGTAATTGTTAAGTTGTCGTTATTTTTCTTAAAAGTGCAATTCCCCGTGCACCGAATTACCTGGAAAAGGTAAATATAGTGGTATGTTGTATCGGAGAGAGCGAGGAAGTAGCTGGAGTGTTATCGCGGCGTGTTGTGAGCAGTGGCGAGCTAACATTCACATTATAATCATACGTGAGTATGTGAGTGGTGTGGTTGACAATAGACAGTGGGAGGTAAAGAGGACTATGGACACGATACGCGACAGGAAGACAGCCGTATCAAATGCTTACCGGTCAACAACAATGCACCGCTGCTGCACGCCATATGCACTGATGAAAGAATTCGGTTAATATTAAATCATGAATTTGGTTGGCTTTTTGTTTTATCATCTGCTTGTATCAATGAATTCTGCCATTCTTCAGAATGGAAAAGTTACTAATGATTTTTAATATAATTAACGTAGGGCACAACACTCCATTGAAGCGAAAAATTACTTCAGCTGAATTAACGTCTGTCAAACAATTTTACTGTATCATTCAGCAACAATTACCGAACACGAACCAGGAAAATGAGAATTAACCGAATTGTTCCATCAGTGCGTCTACCCCATCGTCACGAGATTCCGGTGGTCCCTACTTCAACAGATATTTCTGTTTATTCATTCTCATAATGACTAGATTAATTCCTACAAACGATTCCCGTAATTGGCTCGAATTAATCACTCTGTTGTTAATTCCACTGATTGAAAATAAATGTCGATGACTTGCAGGCAATGAGCACTAATGACCGATAGAGAGAATCTGTCAGTCTGGAAATATCAATCTAACGGTGTATCGCATGTATTTATAATCCAACTACCTACGGCAAAGACTCAACAGGTTACTCGAGTTCTGGAAAGTACACCAGGCGAAGAGCAAGTGAGAAAGGAGAGACCTGGGGGGAAGGTGCGAGGGCTTCTGTTACCATGTCGTGCTTAAATAGAGGCTTCGAATTTCAGTTTGAAAATACGTCTGAATATCCGGCTATTGAGACGGCGTCGTCCATCTCTCCGGGGAAAATTTTCTCGGCTGTAAGGCTTCAACGGTGGGAGGAGCCGATAGCGTGAATGAAGAGGGCGAATTTAGATCGAATCCTGGTGGGTTGAGCGGAAGTGCAAACGGGGAATCCGTGAGCGGGGTAGGTTTTTCGATGGCGAAAAAAAAAAAAAAACGCGTCAGTTACAAATCGCAGTTGGGCTTCTCAGTGCGCCCCGCTAACTCGCTCGATGGAAACTTCACAGATGAGTGTAGAGTACCTAGCGAATGGGTTATGGGTATTTGTGTTAGTGAGTTGTGGGTGGAGAGGGTGAGGGGGGCAAATTTGTTGGATTTCGGCGGGGGGAGGGTGGGAAGCGTGTGCAGGAGGGCGGAAGTCGAGTTGCACACATACCCGAAGGGGGAAAGAGTTGGTATTAGGGGTAATGGGCATTATCTTCATCGATCCTCTGGCTTACCTCCCGCCTCCCCCTGCCGTCGCCCTCGTCTCAAACCATCTAGCGTCGCCTTTGCCTTTCCGCTCGCTCCTTCGTTATTCCTTTTTTTTTCTCGACCTCTTCTTTTTCCTCTCTCGTTGCTGATCGCTCCAGTGAGTCGTGGCAAAAACGCATGGGAATTGGTGCGATTTAGAATAGCGAGAAAGGAGAGCCTGGGCACCGTGCCCGTTACCCCACCGTATATATCCACCAAGACGAAACGTGTGGGCTTCGATTAATGCTCTCTCCGTTTCGCTTTCTCTCGTTTTCCTCTTTCCCTCTTTTTTTTTTATTAGGGCCACCTCATAAAAAGTACTGATTCAAGTTGAATGACTCGATCTCTACCAATCCGCTTTTCAAGTCTGATATCAGTTCAAAAATTCTTTATGTCAAGAAGAATCATTAAAGATCGAGATCGGCTTGAAATAATTTGAAAATCGGAGGGAATCAATTAATTTAGTTATAAAATTAAACAGTTTTTCTGGTTTATTCAAATCGATTTATCCCCGAAAATTGTCTATAATTGTCTTGATTCAAGTTAAAGAAGAAGAATGGAATTGATTCAGACAGATATATTATATTTGCATTTCCCCGAGTCGGAGACGAGTTGATTCCCGTTATGATTTAGTCCGACTTGATTCAGATAGATTCCCTTGATTCGACCTTTTTGGGTGCAGAGAGAGGGCAGAGGGATGGAAATTGTGGAAGTGAGTTGGAAAGAGCCTTTTGGTTGTATTAGAATAATGCAGTGCACCGAGTCGCTGGGAACCGGGGCAAAGTGGTGGTTTGTGTGTGAAGGGATGGGGTGGGGTGGTGAGAGGCGGAGTGGGGCGGAAAGGGGTGAAAGGGGGTGGAATATTAAAGATGAGAGAGGATATGCCTGCGGGGCTCCTAGGAGACGATGAGAGGGGTGAGAAAGAGAGGGGAGTACTGACATTTGCCGAGTGAGGAGACCAACGAGACGGGATGAGACAGAGGGATCGAGTGAGAGGAGAGATAAGTGAGTGAGTAGTGACTGAGTGCATTTCGCAGTGGGAGCCATCTTTTACGTGGCACGTTGCATCCCCGCTGTTCTATTCCGGAAGCCAGAAGATAGCCGGATAGGTAATGCGATGCGCCAACGGCATCCCTTATCCAAGCCGCACCACCTACCGCGTGCCACCATTACCTCGATAAGTGGATCTCAATCGAGATTATCTGGAGCACACCGAGTTACATTAATATACTGCGCATTTGCGGATGTGCCTGGCCAATTTAATAGTCTCGATTCAACTTCCGGAGGTTGATCTTCAACCGGGGTTATGGTATTTTGTGAGTCATTGGTTATTCCTTCCTGTCTGGGTAAGGTCTCGTTCTACTCTCAGTAGAGTTCAGGGTGATCTTATTTTATTTTTGGATTATGAGGAATTATGACGAATTATTTGAATTTACGGTACCAATGACGTATTTCATTTAATTTAATTGGTTGTTTGATGTCATTCTTCAACCGAATTCAGAATACTTAAAATTCAATATTGATTATTGAAAATTCGGGGCTCGCAAATAGAATTGTCCTCTTCCTGTTTTACTGATGCATGAAGATTGCCATTGAAATTCCGAGAAAAAGCTAGAGATGACGGAAAAAAGGGGAGAACATTTCCCGAAGGTATTTAGGAAAATGGTGATTCGATTTCCTTGATTTTCGGGACATTTGGAATGAATATCGAACGGATAGAACCCATTGAGATACGGGGACTTCAC